AGAGGCATCCTAACCAGGCGGCTGTTGGGTACAGGCCTGAAGTTGCTGCTTGGTGCATCGTCAGAGCCTAGATTTCCAGCTTTTTAATGAATGCTGTGGTTTGATCTTAAAGCCCCCTGGAGGCTTAAATTTAAAGGCTCAGGGTGGCACAACTGGGAGATGGAGGGAGGTCCTTCAAGATGGAGGGTGCCCAGGTGAGACCCCCCCCAAGCCCCTCTTTGCTCTCTTTAGTTTCTGGCCATGAAATTAGTGGTTTTGCTTCCTTACAGTGTGCAACCCTCACCATAGACCCAAGACAACAGGGCCTATCAATCATGCCCTGAAACCTTTAAAACTGAGGGCCAAAATAAACCTTCAGCCAGAAGTAGTAGGACATGCCAGTATTCCCAACCAAGGAGGCAAAGGAGAGGATCATGTATTTGAGGCCACCTTAGGGATACATAGTGAGTTTAAGGCTAGCTTGGACTACACAGTAAAACCCTATTTCAAAAACCAAACAACAATAAAGACCTGTTTTCCCATAGAAGTTAGTCACCTCAGGTATTTTGTTACAGTGGCAGAAAACTGACACAGTGGATGCATGAAGTCATCTGATCTAACACATTATTTTGTTTACAATAGCAGAAACCAAGTTCCATTTTTTTTCTTTTTTTCTTTTTCTTTTCTTTTTTTTTGTCACCGGGATTCTAGAGATGGAGGCCATTGCTGTATCAATCAGGGTACAAATGCTGATGTACAGGACACATAAAGAAAGACATACTCTGTGAATAATGAGGAGGAAGTACCAGGTCTTGGTGGCCAGCTGGAAGCAGATAATGAAGGAAGGGACAGAATTAAGGGACAACTTCCAGGCTTGTAGTTTGGAAGCCCAAAAGAGGTATCCAGTGAAAATATAAAAGAAAAATAAGATCTGTGGTGACAGAAAAGGGTGCTCAGGTTAGACCTATTGAATTGAAGTTTCCTGTGCCAAAGCACAGTGTCTGCCAGGAAGCCAGCTGTGCAGATGGTTCTTAAAACTGAGGCATAGTACATAGAACGAGAAAGCTAGAAAAAGCAAGGAATCCAAGAAGAACCAAGGGAGATGCTGGTTCCTAGTGTCAGATACAGATTTTTAAAAATTATTGCATTTGGTGTGTGTGTGTGTGTGTGTGTGTGTGTGTGTGTGTGTGTGTGTACATGCCAGAGGAGGTATGTGGAGGTCAGAGAACAATTTGTAGGAATGGGTTCTCTCCTTCTACCATGTGGGTCCTGAGGAATCAAATTCAGGTTATCAGGCTTGGTGGCAAGTGCCTTTTACTGGCTGAGCCACCTCACTATCTCATGGGCCTTTTAAAAATTTTTTGTTTCAGTTTCTTTTAAGGTCATTATGGCAAAAGATATGAAAATAGAATCACTGGTGATTTTGACAGATGCATTATCTGTGGAGTGGTGGACCAAAAAGGGAAAAACAAAACAAAACAAAACAAAACCCTACAAAACAAAATACAAAAGCAACCAGATCAGTGAGCTAAGGAACTACAAAGAGGATATGGAAAGAGCATTTAAAAGCCATATGTGTAATCATAGCGTTTAGAAGGAAGGAGGATAACTGTGAGTTGAAGGCCAACCTGAACTACATAGTCAGACACTGTCTCAAAACCAAAAACAATCAGAACACGTTTTAAAGGTTCATTTTGAAGGACAGATAAACAATGTTCCAAATTAGACAAAGGGCTGAGAATTAGTTTTCTAAACAATTCATTCATTTATTCTATAGCGTTTAATGAGCACCTCATCCATGTAGCTCTGGATATAACAGTTGAGAATAAGACAGATGTGGTGTTTCATTCAAAAGCCTGTAGACCCAGTGTGATGCATGTCAGCAAAGAAAGGGACAGGTGCTCTGAGAAAAGGCACCTGGGGATCCTGGCTTAGGCTGAAGCTTCAGAAACAGCTTCTCCAAAGAGCTGGCTGAGAAAAAGGGTCAAGTGAAGAGAAGGATATTGGGGTAGAAGGAGCTGCATGTGCCAGTGCCCAGTGGAAGGTGAGTCGTCTAAGTGAGGAGGGAAAGCCAGGGAAGACTACAGGAGTCCAAGATGGAAGGTGTCATACTGCAGTACGAGAGACACCTGCTCAAGGTTTGGGAGTGTGAGCGTGGCTGGACATAAGGCTGTCTGTCTGTGAGCAGGAAGTTGAGGCAGTAGTCTAATGGCCACTGTGTTGTTTGTAAAATAGCAAGCCTGGTGACAGGATGCAATGCAATGCGGAAGTGACCTGGGTAAGGTGGTAGAGGGAAACAGCTAGAGTGGGCAAGGGCAGAGAGAGCAGTGAAAACTTGCCAGCCAACCCTTAATCTCTCCCCAGTCCTCGTACAGTAACCCCAGTCAACAATGGCTTTTTCACTTCTGGTACCAAAGCTGTGTTTCCCAAGACAAAGGAGTCTGGATTCTTTGGTGCTTATGTTTAACATATATGCAGTGATCTCAACTATCATTCATTTTCACTATTTCATGATTAAGTAATGGATGCAATAGGAAGCAACTAAATGCCAAATATATGGACATTACTTATCTCCTCAGGAAGCCCCCATCCACAGGAAACTGCTGACATCCTACTTTCTATGACACTCTCCTTTTTAATAAAGGTGGTGTCTGTATTCATTCTATGTCTAGATAGTTTCAACTTCCCCCTTTTAATTAGCACGTCCTGGATTATTTTTCTCACTTTAATTCTTAAGCACAGTCACTTACTGACAAGCATGCAAAATGGAACTGTTTCATTGGAGGTGGCTATAGGCTGAGGCTACCTCTGGCACAGAGTCAAGTCCATACTAAGCTATGATGGCTGAACAATCTCCCCAGTCATATGTGCCTACATTCATGTGCATACACAAATACGTTGGCCTGCAGGGACTTCTACATCTGACTTGACATTTTTTTCAGATTCAATCCTAAAGAAGTTAAAGCAGTCTCTTACTGTGGTTCAGAATAATGAATTAAAAGTATCTGTCATTACAACAAATTGGACATGAAGCTTCCAAAGGCAATTTTCTTGCAGTGTAGACATTGTGAAGGACTCCTGGTAATCTCAAACTTAACAGGATACAAAAGTCTGCCAGAGGGGAACAGAAAGCCCACAAACTGTAAGCAGAGGGAGGTGGTAAGATCAGGATCAAGGCACACAGAGGAGTAAAGTAACAGTGGTGGCAGCTCAAAGAAAGGTACTAGATCCCACAAAATAACCCCACAGCAGACACTGCACAGGATACACACAGACACACACACACAGACACACACACACACACACACTTACAAGCACATATTCTGGTAGTTATAGTGGCTCTATCTGATCCAAAAAGTAATAAAACAATTTTCCTCCAGGCTTATTTTTTAAAAAAAAATCTTACCCTAACTGCTATCAATTAAAAATTCTAGTAGCTCAAATAATTTTTAAAAGAAACTTCTGGGCTTCCTTTAAAATGCAGAGGGCAGAGCCCTGCACAGGGACATGGCTGCAGGCTGGGCAGGTGGCCGGCAAATGAAAGGCGGCCACCTCACTCCAGCTCCCAGGCTGCAAACTTACAGCAACCAGAGCCAGTGAGAGGAGTCTGCCGTGTTGCTAGAGTGAGGTATATTACAGTCTACAGAAGAGCTTTGCACGTGCTCGTTCTCCCCACTCCCTTTCCAAAAGACAGGGAATAACATGCCTGGAAGAAAATGCTAACTTAGTGCTATACAATTCACAAGAAAGTTCAAGAATGGATTTCTCAGTCCAGTTCCTCTTTCCTTTGAGGACTCTTGACTTCATATAAATTGCTGCAATAATAACAAAACATAAAGAAAGCAAGCTTTCATCAGCACAAAGCTCTGTCAGAACAGAGGCCACTACAAGGAAACATTCAGCCCCCAAGCCCACAGCCAACTCAAAAACAATGCTCCTGGCTGTCATTTCTTGTGCAGGCCAGGCCCATATTTCTATTAAACAAGCCCTTCTTAAGTGACTGTTTCCCTCTCATCACATACCAAGGCACACAGTCGCCCCGAGAGATTACATTATAAAACCCTAGGGTTTTCTTTTGCGAGGGAATCTGTAAAAGACAGAAGAGGGCAAGTTTCAAGGGCTCTTAACACTGATGTCTACCAAAGGCAGAAAGCCGGGGCTCCTTCCTGCTCTGTGGGCTGCCTGAGTGTCTGGGATTGACTTGAAATTTAGCAGATTCCCAAGAGGCTACTTGAAAAGAAAGGGGTGATTTCACAGCCTTGGAGAGCCCCCCCCTCTTATTTCTGATTTCCCCCAGCCACCTCTCCTCCCACCCCCATTTACAAGAGCACTTTTGTATACATAAAGTTCCGGGGAACAAAGCACACAAACACTCACACACAAATAAACTCCCAAGCTAACACCAGCATATAATAGTGTTTTGGTTGGAGTCTTTCCAGCCCTGTCACCCGTTCTGTGTTAGGAGTAAATGAAACTCTTGCTTTTGCAGTTAGAAAGGGAGCAAACCCTCCCATTTCAAGCAACACAGGCCCCTCACATCTTTTTGGGCCCCCAACAAAACTCACTGCTGGAAAAACTGGCAGGGGAAAAAGAATCTAATCTATCCCTCAAATGAAGATCTCTCACTTCTTCCTTCATTTCAGTTGCCCCCGTTACCAGCAAATGCAGTTCTGAAAGCATTTTCTCAGTCCCTTTCAAAGAACCCTGACTCAGGACTCTTCCCAGGAATCCAGCTTTGGGCTGTCCCGAGGCACAGGCGCGTTTGTATTCTTAGAGTCAAACCAGGCTCTTTCATTTCTAGAGCAATCTGAAAAGCAGCCTTGGTGGGCTGGCTGGGCTGGGTCTCCCTCCCCCTAAAACTGCCTGCCTGCTGGGACAGGGGCCCCGGCTGAGTACTGGGCTCCTAAGTCCAGCACCAACCCTGCTGGGGAAAGAGCCCGAGCCCCCCACCATCGGCTCCTCCTCCCGCCTCCCTCCACATTCTTCCCCACAACTTGGCCCAGGCGAGGTGGAAAGCGTACCTTCCTTGTGCTCCTCGGCGTCGGAGAGCATGCTGTCGGGCTGCGCGGCCAGAGACGCCACCGCCACGGACATGGACTCCGGGCTGCAAGTTCGCTCTGCAGCCCGAAAGCAACCGGGGAACCCAGGGGGAGGAAACCACTGAGATCAAAACCTCCTCGGGCGGGAGGCTGGCTCTGGGTAGGGATTTTTCAGGGGAAAGTTCCGCAGCAGTGACGAATCGCCGCTGGGCTGGGCGCAGGAGTCCGCCCCCGAGGGGCCGCTGCGGGCGGAGACGACCTGGCGCTGCCGCAGGTGGGGCCGAAGGAGAGGTGCGGTGGGCAAAATTGCCAGTCCACGTAGCAGCCGCCAGCAGCACACGTGCACACGGAGCATCACTCACTGCACCTTAGGGTGACATTTTTCTGCACCCGGTTGACTTTCCTGGTCCTGAGTTTTCACATACCCTGAATTACGAACTGTAATGCTGGGTTTTGTACTGTTTTTATGTTTTTGTTTTTGTTTTTGTTTTTTTCAGGATAGTGATATAGACATCGCCCACGTAGTTGGGTCATCTTCACAAGGCACTTCACTAGTGCCAGGGAAAGGTTTCTAAGGAAAGTGGGCCGCTCTCCATCAGCAAAGCCCCCTCGCAGGTATAGCCTCTCTCCCTCTAGCCAAGCTGCCAAGGTCTCTCTCTGATAGATTAGAGCGAGATAAAAGGTTGGAGAGCCCTGAGAACAGCGGTTGTTCTGTCCTGCCCTCCCCTCCCCTCGCGGCTCACTGGCTCCTACTTCTGGCTCAGTGGATGTGGCCCTAAATCTGGGGAATCCTGGCTTGCCCTTCAAAGAAGTGGGGACAACAGTTTCCACCAGCTTACCTGTCTTAGGAATTTATGTTATAAAACACTAGCTTCAGCATCAAGATTGGGCAAATTGTCCTCAAGAAACTCATCTGAAAGGGAATTCCCCATAGAAAGGACTATTCATCTGGAAAATGTGAGAAAACCTACATTCTTTAATAAATTTATTTTCCAAATGCCTTCATGTCCCTGGTCTCCTATCTTACATGGAGGGAGGGTGGAGAGGAGTAAGCTGGTAAATTTAGTAAAATGTCCAGGTTCAGGGTCTGAATTTAGATTTAGTTCTGTTATTTATTATTCATATGGCCTTAAACAAATTGTTTTAGTAATCTCTCAGAGCCTCCATTTGCTTGTCTATAAAATGAAGATAAAAATAATCTAGCTGCATGGTTTTAATCCCAGCACTGGGGAGGCAGGCGGATCTCTGAGTTCAAGGCCAGCCTGATCTACGTAGCAAGGTCCAAGCCAGCTGGGGCTGCAGGGAGACCCTGTCTCAAAAAGACCCCCCCAAAAAAATCTATAATTCACAGATTTGTCTGTATTACAAAAAGTAATATAAACAAAGTGATCTGAGAGCTATTAAATACTACATAATTGCTAACTACTGCACCTTATTACGGGTAGATTTTTGTAAAGGATACTTGTGCATTTTCTTTCAGCACTGGCTTTGAACAGTGTTTACACTATCCACAGGCAAGGGGATATTATAAATATCAATATAAGGAAGTCCTCAATATTAAATCACTTCTTACCCTTTGAGCAGTTCTAACACAGTAAGACCCTACCAGAATTTTATCTCAATTTCACTGAACGGGCAAGATGAACAAAGACATAATAGCCAGCTGCAGAGGAGAGATGGTGGAGAAACATCTGGAAAATATCAGTTATGGAGCCTATGGGAATTGATCACGCCCTGAGAAAGGTAACAGGCTACCCTTGTTAAAGTCATGGTTAACTCGGTGGTTCCCTGTGCCCCACACCCTAGTGACACAAAGATGGGCAGGTCATACTCAGTAACCTCAAACTCATCAGGGAAACACCAAGATAAGGACCAGTCTGAACCAAAAGAAAAGCTCCCTTGCCAGTCACATGGCCTTTCCTGATTTTCCAAGGAATCATTCCGCCCCCTCCTTCCTCTACAGCATCTGGCCTTGCGTCCCCCCCTCTGGAGGACAGATGTTCACAGACATCCACCAGGGGCTCTGAGGGACCTCACCTCGGCTGTTTACTAACACAAATGAGATAGCTTCTGTGGATCTATGGTTGGGGTGAAGCAGCACCCTTTCAAGGTGAAGTGATGATTACACAATTCCAGACAGCCCAGCCTCCACACCCCGTCTGCCCCAAGGGGAATTACTTTCTCTTTTCCTTCAGCAAGTGCTCCTATATGCACTATTTATTCAGTGTCCTTTTGTTAACCCAAGTGCATACACTCTAACATAACGTATGTTAGAGTACATGTCCTTAATATCCCACTTGTTTTTACAAGGGTTCACAAAAAGGTCTTCAGCCTAGCCCAGGTTAGCCAAGGAGAACAACTGCTGAATGAATGAACAGTTTGGACACCACCACAGCAGCCTGGTAATTCAATTTAGCATCCTGCTAACAGCTCAGCTGATCTTTGAACACTCACCAGGATCCTTAGGAAACCTCCAGAGAAACTTTTTTTTTTTTTTTCAATGCAACCCAGCAGTCACCTTGGGGAAGAATGTTCTGATCTAGTTCAAGAGCACTGAAAGCTCAGCTTATTTAAAGTATGTACATGATAAGCACTCCTCAGTCACCTGTATACCCTCAAAGGCATCTGCCCTGGGCAATCTATACTACTCCATGTCCCTGCCTTGCAAATGGTAACAAAGGATGTCTGGATCCCCAGGGATGTCCAGACTTCTGCTACTTCCACATGTATACTAGGTAGTGGTTTTGCCAGGCTTTTATTCAAAGAGGGTTGGTTACTTTTTAGTCCTGGTGACTACAATACATCATAATGATTTGTTATCACCTGTGACCCCTATTTACTTTTTTTTTCCCCCTGGAGACAGGGTCTTATGGATCCCGGTCTCCAAATTGCTATGCTGCCAAGGATAACTTTGAACTCCTAATCTCCTGCCTCTACTCCTAGAGTACTGGGATTACAGGTTTACAACACCATGCCTGATTTATGTAGTTCTGGGGATCAAACCTAGTGCTTCATAAATTCTAGGCAAACACTCTACCAACTGAGCTACATCCACAGCTAGTCTCATATTTGCTCTTGTATGTTTAAACTACTGCACCATCTTTACTTTAGCAATATGCTTAGAATCCACACTAATAATCTCGTACTGATAATCTGGAACAAAATAGCAACTACATCAGAGGCCCATTTAGCAAAGAATGCATTTAAACATTATGTTGCATTTCTACACCTGTCCAATAATGAACCTCTCTCCCTCTATGTCAAGGTGCTGTAAAGGTTCTGATGGCTTATTCATTCACATAGGCATTACCCAATAATTATACAGGTCACATAAATGGGCCTTCCTAATCTAAAGCTTCCTGGTATAATTTTGATAATTTTGGACCATAGATGAAATGAATTCAACCTCACCAAGCACTAGGTTCTATAAAGTTTATTATTATTAACAAATCTCCTTTTGAACTGTACTCGAATAAAGCTGAGTTTTTTTTTATTTTTAAAAAATTTTATTATTTATTTATTTTTGCAAAGTGGCATGGAAATTTTATTCAGAAGCAGAGTGATAGTATGAATCAGTTACAGTCACAAAGCAGCAGGTCACCTGAGTGAAAGAGTACTCAAGGGCCCTGGTTATTTTTTTTAAAAAAAGAAGGGGGAAGAGGTAAAAGGAAAGGAAGAGGAAGGCTACGAGTGGGAACCTAGGTTTGGGGGCCTTTGCCTTACAGTAGAAGCCTCTGAAAAACAGGGGAGCCTGAAAAGTGGTCAGTCCCACACATGAGAAGGCCAGCTAAATGGAGAAGAGCTGGTATGGCTATTCAGCAGTGTCACATTATCACACACTGCAGCTTACTCAAGGAGGGTCTAGTTATCTGCAGTGAAAAATCCAGCATCTCTGTCAACTAGGAACTAGGAAACAAATGTGTACAGATGCATAACTACCTGCCTTTGAGTGTGTACCTGCTAGCTCATAAGCAGCTTGCATCCTTTTATCAATACATTTATTTCTTCCTCAGTGGCATGACGCTGAATCTGATCATACACATTTATAGGTCACAAAACAGATATTTATGGAGTATAAAAAATGGCTGTCTTCTGTTTGATTTTGAGGTTGTCCTCAACTTTTCTACTATTATTTTTCTTCAAAGACTTCAACAATCTGTATACAGAATTGACATTTGCCTTCTCTCCTGAAATGAAGAAACGTTCTAGCTCTTGATCCCATGTAGTTGGGGCTGAAGATGTGTATTTCTGTTTCCATCCTCAGCTACCTCTCACACTCATCCTCCAAAACATAGGAGGCCTTAACATCTCTCTACATCCTCTCCCTGCCAGGCAACCTGCCTCTCATTGCCTTACTTTTTTTTTTTTTTTTTACTAGAAATGGAGAAGGTAGTGCTCAAGTGATAGTGGGGTCATTTATGTACCTTCTAAGGCAGTCAAGCGCCTGTGCTCCACTGACCTTATGTTTACGCATTGATGAGTATTGGGGTGCAGTTGGAGAGTCTAAGTATGAGGTGGGGCAGAAGTGCCTGAATCAAGAAAGGTAACTGAGGATGACTGTGGAGAGAGAGAAAGCTACTGCTCACCAGATTCTGGAAGTGTGTGGCTAGGGGTAAACTCTACTCAGACTCTCAATGACATCTCCAGCAAATCTTACACAATCACTAATGCTCTGGGTGTGAGCAAATAGTTCTGAGGGAACGGGAAGAAGTGCTGACATGGACGTACGCGCTCGCTTGCTTACGGGCAGTCAGGCAGCTATGCATCTGGCACACTCTTGTTTCCTAGGATTTCATTGTGTTTTTATTTCTCTCCTAAGGAATCATCCTTGTTAAAAAAAGCTTTCAGTAGATGATTAAAGACACACACAGAGATACAGACACACACACATGGGGAATGGGGAAAGAAAGAGAGGGAGGGAGGGAGGGAAGGAGAGAAGGAGAGAAGGAGGGAGGGAACAAGGCGGGGGGGGGTCAGGTTGGAAAACATCCGAAGAATTTGTGATCCATGATCCTTTTTCTATAACACCAGTACCTTCCTTGCAATTATGTTTCCTTTTTTGAAGCAGAGTTGTGGTTTATTAAGAAAAGGTTTGACATGATTTTATTGTGGGCAGTAAGTTAGAAGAGACTCTGAGAGGTACTTAGGAAAAGGTAG